GTGTGTATTTTCATGTCAGATGTATGTCAGGAAAACGTATAGCTCATTGGAAATAGGCAGTTATTTACTTCATAATTGATTCCTATAGGGAAAATAAAGAAAGATAGCAAGGGAGAAGTGAAGTGAGAGAAAGCAAGTCTGCATTATACTCTTTCTTCCTTCTTCCCAGCACCTTTCCACTCCACTCTGACAAGCAGTGTTCAACCTCTGAATCAAAGGGTTTATTTGCTTGTATCAAGCGTAGTGATGAGTTCACTACATCGAGCAGTGAGCTGCTGGTTCTCTGCCTTCACAGCCCAAGGCTATCTGGTTTCCACTCCCTCAAATAATCAATTTCTTGTGCATCCCAATATAGTTGAAAGGGAACAACACAACTGGTCAGAGTTGTTGCAGAACACCATTTTCAGTTCCTGAAAATAACAGAAAACCCAACTCACACTAGATCCACAATGACCTGAGTATGTTTTTCCTTAGAACTAGGAGTCCAGGGTTGCAGTTCACAGTTCATAGGGTTGAGCGGCTCCACAGTGGTGTCAGTAATCTCATGTTATTCTTTCAATGCCGGCTCCCATCACAGCTCCAGTATGTGCCAACCACCCCCAGGCCACAGGCTTTCCTGTCGCCACCTAACACCAGTGAGAGAGGGGATGTTACTTCTGGGCATTTCCCCAGAAGGAGGAGGCTCGCCTGGTTTCAGTTCCTCCCTCCTTCCACGCATGCCAACCTTACCCCCTTGTACCTCCTCCTCACCCCCTGAGTTGACATTTGTGAATTCTGTCCATTCCAGCTATAAAAAAAATGGCTTTAGGGGGCTGGGGATTTAGCTCAGCGGCAAAGTGCCTGCCTGGCAAGCGCAAGGTCGTGAGTTTGATTCCTGGTTCCGGAAGAAAAATGAAAAACAAACAAACAAAAATAAATAAATAAATAAATGGCTTTAGAACCAAATATGCACAGAAGTTTTTAGTCATTATCCCCTAAACAATATATAGGAACTATTTACATAGCATTTACGTTGTATTAGGTGACAGAAGTAATCTGCAGATGAGTTGAAATATACCAAAAGTTATCATATGTTATATGTAAATATTATTTCCTTTTGTGTGAGATTCTTGAGCTTACACAGACTTTGGTATCTGAGTGGGTCCTGGAACCAGTCTTCTTGAAAATACCAATGAATAAGTTCATAACCATATCAAGGGCAATGACTGTGTCCCACAAGAGGGAACAGATTTAGTTCTGAGATACAGGTCCCCACATTAAATCAAAGAGAGAATTGTCTTTTCCCGAAGCATTAAACATAGGTATGCAAGAAAATGTGAAGCTCTTACAGGGGAAAGAGCAAGGAAAGTAGGTAAGCAGTCCTGGTATACAACTGCAAACTGTTTCCAGTAAGGCTGCTGATTTCCTTCCATAGTTCCAACATGGCCTCTCCCTGTGAAACAAACTTCGGTGGGCTTGGTCCCAGTTCTTAACATTTAGCATTTATGACATTCACCTGAAGAGGATTTTGCAAGGGTAGATATTTGGGCTAAGAAACATCCAAAATTCAATTTTAATATATCTGAACCATCTTAACAAACACTCAGAGAAATTCTATCATGCGAGACTGCAGACATACATTCAGTTAAATCTTGTAGGTTGGCACATCTCTTTCCTCTGTATCTGTCCATGATAGTCGTTTGATTAAGTCCTTGGACATGCTGAGTTGAAAGAACAAAACAATTACCTTGTAGGTTATTTTTGTTTTACTTCGTTGGCCATGTTCCAGCTTCCAGAATTAAAGGAGACCGCAGTGCCAACTCAGAATTTTGTTTAATCATTGATTTCATCACTTCTGAGAAGCAAACAGAAAGAGTGAAGAATCATTCGGGTAGTATGACCAGTACTTTCGAAAATAACTTTATTTACTGAAACATTATTTTATAGACCACACATGCCCACTTTGACATTTGTTTTTACTTTGAGGCACTAGCTGTCACCTGTTAATATTTTCTGACATTTTATTCAGTAATGCGGTTAGCCTACAAGCCAGCTTGGCTTTGCCACACAGGTAACTAAAATAATGAATGAATACCAGTACTAAACTCTGGGTATGTGCACATCCATGAGGAGATTCTGGAAATAGAACTCCATGCAAAATTGTGTACGGGCTGACTCATCCTGTTAGTTCATTACTATGAAGCTTTTGGGAAAGTAGCTTACGTATAGGTTAATGACCTGCATGCCATATAGGATTTGAACCTAAAATAATCTATCACACCTGCACAATTATAATTGTCTCTATTTTGTGCTTGCTAGCTCTTTCTTGAAAGTTCTTGTTTATGTGCTCATAGTGGAGGGATAAGATCTTGGCGCTTCTAATCTCCCTTCCTTAGATATCATCAATGTAGATGTTTTTAAAGCCATAATTAAGATTGCACCTTCCTGTTTCTCCCCTGTGTTATGACACATGAAGAAGTTTCTAGAAAAGAAAATCATTCTTGCAAAGAGTGGTGATCACATTTTGCTACATTTCCACATCCAGTTGTTCACATTCTCTCCCAGTGTTGCCTCTTGAAAGCCCTTCGTTGGTCAGTAAGGATTAACAAAAATGTTTGGCTTTAAAATTAAAGTGGAAGCACCTTGCATTTAAATGAGTGTGGTTCTTTCAGTCACTGTGAGCTTCTGTAATGTTCACCTCCTCGGTTACTTTGGGAACTACATGAGTTCACGCATGTAAAGTGACCAGGCATAAGCATTTTCTTCCATTCTGAATCTGCAGATTCTGATAAAGACCCAGGTAGCACAGCATTTCTTCAAATCCCTTTGCTGTTTTCCTAAAAGGCAATTCCTGGAAGCTACCAACAACTTTCCTCTTTGAACATGCTCTCGTATATTTTGGACATGATAAAACAGCAAACAGCTTTTTAAATATGTACGCTCCTCACGCCCCGTATGCCGAGTGTGTTCGCTCTCTTCAGTTCTTTATGTGCCAAGGAGGGAAGCCAGAGAGTAGGGAAGAAACTGCAGCGGGCCGCAGACTCAGCTTGTCTAGCGAGCTCTCTGCAGATGTACCCATCGCCCTGGAAGACAGGGTAGCGGGCTGGGAGCAAATCCCATTTATAAGCAAGTCAGCTAGGTCAGTTTGTATTTTGAAACTTCATGGGTCAAGTGAAAGAGAGCAGGCTTGTGTCACATGATTCAATAGGAGTAGTCTGGGTGAGCTGCTCTCCTGCGCTGAATACAAAGGAGACTGCACCCGGAAGTGGAAAGGTAATGAGGTCAGTTCTGGGCAAAATCCGGAAGCTGCACAGATACGCTCTGTTTTACATTTTTCCAAACAATATGCACACACACATCACACACACACACACACACACACACACACACACACACACCCCACAGTGGGCTTTTGCCTTAGGAGTCTGACTACCCACACACATCACCTTTCAAATGGGAATCAGAATGATTCAGACTTTTATGAGTTACAGTTAATGTTACCTTATATTGATATTATCTAGTAATGGCTCAATCCTGGCTACATGGTAGTATCACTTAAAGAGATTTCCACTCATTTGTTTGAGGTAAAGCCCAGAATTTGTTATTCCAGTGAGGATCCAGGATCGAGAACCTCTGTAGTAGGACACGATTTTATTTTCAGATCTTGGCATCTGCTTAGTAATACCCATGTTAATTCAAGAGTGGGTTGCAGGGTCTGGGGATTTAGCTCAGCGGCAAAAAGCACCTGCCTGGCAAGCTCAAGGTCGTGAGTTCGATTCCCGGTACCAGAGAAAAACCAAAAAAAAAAAAAAAAAAAAAAAAAAAAAAAGAGTGGGTTGCGAACAGTAGTCAAAACCACCTGGGGTCAAACTTTAAAGTGTACGTTCCTGTGTCCTTACCTCAGAATGGAAACCACTACTGAATATCCTTGAAGATTTCAGTACAGGTGAGGAAATGAGTGTGTGTGTTTGTGTGTATGTGTGTGTGAGAGAGAACAGCAAAGACACAGGAAAGCAAAAGGGTGTGTGTGTATCAGAATCTTCATATTTAACCAAAAGAGGGACTCACTCTGAAATTTAGTAATACCTACCTTATAAATTCTATCTGAAAGAAGAAATTTTTCAACACTTACAATGGCTTTAAATCACTCTATGTTAATAGAAAATTGACCTTGGGATACCTGTATGTCGTATGCAATTTATATGTAATTAAGATTACTCATTATTATCGGAATTTGTGAAGACCAGTTGTGTATGAAATAAAAAAGGAAATTCCAACACAGGTGATAGAATTTTCTCACTTTAAAAAATACACATTTTAAAGAATGTATACTGAATTTATACTGTATTATTTTCAGTTAAATGTAAATATTTGTGAATCTATCATTAGATGATGAAAGAAATGTAATATATGCAAAAAGCTTAAAGGTCAAGCAATTGTAATCATTGCGAATGTGAAAGATTTATATTCATTTTCTTTCTTTCTCCTTCTCCCCTTCTCTTTCCTTCCCTCCCTCTGCCTCCCTTCTTCCCCACACCAATCCCCAATTCACCCCTTTCCTTCCTTTGCACAGCATCAGATGAAGAAGAGCCAACTTCAGCAGGTAAAGTTCTTAAATTCTAATTATTATCCCTGTTTAATTTAGTGCCTTTAATGAAAGAGATTCAAATATTTTTTATTTTTCAACCAAGAGGTTGGCATATCTTAATATTTTAAAAAACTGTACGGGCCCACTGTGCTATGACAGGCTCAATGATGCTGATGAACGTTCTTGAATAAAAGGCAAATTAATAAATAATGAGCAATTATGACAGAGGAAAACTCAGCAAAACAGCTCATCAACACTAAAGGACGAGGGAAATTGAAAGATTCGGATATTTATAAGAGTACAGAACTATTATATGGGAATTTAAACCAAAAAGTATCCAAAAGAGGAAAATGGTGGAATAAATTCTCAGAAATATCACCTTCTATGATAGAATAATGAATTATCAAATACGTAACCAGAATGAGTCATAATATTCAAATTTAGGGGTAAAATTATGTAGTGGTGTCAAACACACTTTTAAAAAATTAAGTTTTACAATTGTAATGGAATGATTCTGCTACTTGGCATCATAATTCTGCTATTCATCTAGCTAATGAGCATTTGTCAAGCATAGACTAGGGCCTGAACTCAGTCCTATGGAGAAGCCAGATAGCAGAGAACACATGTTACTTCGAAGATAGTGCCAGGACAGTGGGACATATCACAGTGACATGCGCAGAGACTACAGACAGGCACACTTATAAGGATAAAATGAGAGGAATGACTCTTTTCATTAGCAATTAATTAAATATCCAGAGTTGCAGATCAATACCTGGGGGGTGGGCAGAGTCTGAGATACAGACATGCTGGCTCTAAAGGGAAAAAAGCAGATGTTAGCACTGGTCAGATTCCTTCCTAGTGAAGGAGAGAAGGCATTAGTCCTGAGAGATGAGAGTAGGAGATGATTACTGAAGTTGTTGGGCCATGGGGGACTTCCTCCTGGAATGGAGGATATGGTTCTGTTATTAGAACTCACAGCCAAGGAAGGGCCACTTCAGTTTAGAGTCTGCACATATTTCAGCAGACCTGACCTCATGAATTCAACCTGTCTGGATAACTGAGCAGGGCCTTCTCTGTAAGAATGAAATCAAAGGATCAAAAATTCAGGGAAAGAAAACAAGATAGTTACTGTACAGGATTTTCTGATGATACAGAAATGTCATATTGCATGATACTAACTATAATTATACTCCCACAACAATGAAATCAGAGAGGCAGATAAATTCTTAAGCTATGTTTCATTTCATAATATCTTTAGTTTATTACCTAATTTGGATGGTAGGAAATCCCTATCATCTGCTCCCTTTTAAGCTGAAATTGTGTAACCTGATCTTAGGAGCATATGAATCACGTGACTCAATGGCAGACTTACCCCTCACCCAGTCTCTCCTACCTCCTTTCTGGCTTCATTTTCTCCTGACTGTGAACTTCGCTGTATAGTGATGCTCAAAGACTTCCTTTGCATATCTTGTTTAGTTATTTGTATTGTTGCTATTTATTTGTAGTATATGATACTTACATTAATCCCGGGGAATTGCTACGTAGACATATTGCATTTTGGTCATTTTTACTTGCTCTTGTTTGCTCATCTCAGATATTTTCCCACCTCCATGAATTCTGTGTCCCTAATTTTTTCCATCCTACACTTTACCCTGAAAATCATGTACCCTTTGGGTTTCTCATATAAGAGAAACCATGTGATAGTTATTCTTCTATGCTTGAGTTATTTCACTTAGGAGTATGGTGTCACAATCCACCCACTTTCCCACAAATGGGTTAAATATATCCTCCTCTATGACCGGGTAGTACTTAGGTATGTATACACGCACATTTTCTTTTTCATTCACATGTTGATGGTCACATGTGACATTTCCACATGATTTAGCTATTGTGAAATGTGCTGCCATAAACATAGCTATATATGCATAGTTGTAATATCATGACTTACTTTTGGGAATATATCCAGAAAAGAAATAGCTGAAGCAGATGGAATCTTCACACTGATTTCCATAGTATTTGTCCTAGCTTACATTCCCACAAACAATGTAGAAGGTTTTATTGTCTCCCCCATGACCTCTCCATCCTTTGTTATTTGTTGTCTTCTTGCTAATAGCCAGTCTTCCTGAGCTAAGATGAAATCCCGGTGTTGTTCTGATTTGTTTCTCGAAAGGCCAAAGATGTTGAACATTTTTCATGTACTTACTGGCCATTTGAACTTCACCTTCTGAAAAGTGTTTCTATATGTTATTTCCCCACTTTTTGATGAGGTGTTTTATTTTCGAGGCCTAATTTTTTGAGCTTGTATTTTCTGGATATTACTCCTCTGTTGAAGAAGTAGCAAACAAAAATTTTATTCCCATTCTAGAGCTTATCTCTTCAATGTACAGATACTTTCTTTTTATCAAGGAACTTTTTGGTTTTATATGATCTCAGGTGTTGTTTCTTCATATTATTTCTTGTATAGTTGGGGTTCTGTTCAGAAATTTCTTGCCTAATGCCTATGTCTTCAAGAATTTTATATATTTTATCTTCTAGCAGATTCAGTATTTCTGTTTTTCAATCTAGTTCTTTCATCCCTTGTGATTTCATTTTACTAAAAGGTGAGAGATATGAATCTATATTTATTCTTCTGCAGGAGGATAACCAGTGTTCCCAGGTCAACATTTTTTTCTTAACCGAATATTTATAATTTTGTTCATGAGTATTATTTCATAATATTTTTCAAATGCATATCTTTTATTTAGAAGTGTTATCTATATTTATTGTATGATTAATATTGTTTTTATTCTCATGTTCTTTCCTGAAAGAATTAATGCACACCTGTTTTTTTTCCAAACTGAGATTCATTTTGGGGTCCTCCTTTAATTTGTCTGCATGATTTTCCTCTTCTGTTTAAATCATCAACAAAATGTAGTCATAAATTAACTTAAATTTCAGGTCTCCACAGAATTTCTTCACAAGGCTCATATGCTTCCTTATGATTCACAGCATAACTGGGTGAAGGCTCTTTCTAATTAACAATCCAACTAAAATGTCTTCAGCAAAGGGCTAAAGACCAGATGTGGAGCTCAGCCTGGCCTTTACTGTCAGAATTCTTATCAGTATTTTGGATTTCTTAGCTCTTACCAGAATCATGCATCAAGCTCACCTTGTAACATTTTGGGACTTCTCTAGCCAGCATCCTCAAACCTTTTCAAACTTCTCTTGCAAATTAGTTGCAAAATATTCTAAAGCACATGGTCAGATAAAGTCACAGCAAGGACCCACTTCTCTGGTACCAGTTATCTGCATTAGTTAGCCTCCCCTATGCTGGGACAAAATACTCAACAGCCACAAAGTAAAGGAAGATAGGGTTTATTGGGCTCACAGTTGGCTGCCTCCAGCGCAGAAGTACCGTGGAGGAAGTGTCTGCTAGATGAAAGCTGCTGCACTTATGTTGGCCGGGAAGTGGAGGAGGTAAACAGCGTCAGACAGGAAGGGGCCATGCAGTGGATACAGGCATCAAGATCATCTTCCAGGACTCTTGGACCTACACAGAAATATGCTTTACAAATCCTCCAGCAGTATTCCAAGCCAACCAAGTTTTCAGTTAAGCTTAACATTAGCTGAGAAGACAGAGGGAAAGAACCAGATAGCTAGGAGCCTAAGGCCAGCTGGAGCCCCCAGAGCATGCTCTGGTCCAGCAAGCCCAAGCACATGATTCTTTCACCTTATAATAGTTCCATTAAGTTACGCTTTGATTTGTGTATTAATCCACTGATGACGTAAAAGCCCGTGTGTTCTGATCACTTCCCAAAAGTTTGTCAGCAACCAAACATTCAACACAATGAGTCTCCTGGGGGACACTTCGGATCTCACCCATATAGAAATGCCAACAAAATTAATAAGATGTTAAAGAGTGTTTTATTTGTGATGTCATGCTGCACAACCACATGGATGTTTCTTTTTAAAAAAGAACATGCTTGATTTGACTCATATTTTTAATTATTGTAAGATAGACATAATTAAAAAACTTTTCTTCCATTGTTTCAATATATCTCTTTATATATTTAATGAATAAAATACATTTAGAAATAAAAATATTCACACACCTTTACAAATCACAGTCTTACTAATTATTTTTTCATACACACCTAATTTATTGGACCCTTTAAATTGCCTTGTAAGCAGCAAATGCACAGTAAGTGTTTTTTCCCTTGACTTACAAAGGAGATGTATAATGTTTTGCAGTTGCGTTTATAATGATAGCGTTACATCACCTTCTTGGTTACAAATCATTAATTTATTAATCATTTTAATTTCAGGATGTCCAAATAAAGATGTTAGTTTACACAACTCTGTTTTATAGTATCTGATTTAGGACAGTAACTTCACCTAATAGCTGCTTTTATAATTTTTAAACGTCTGTTTATATTTATCCTTTATTTTCACCTGTTTAAGTATCTTATCTCATTGAGTATAAATACACATCGATGATCTATACTGAAAATTCCTTATAGCTAAATTATGTTCCAAGATCTAATTACAAACTAATGAGATTCATGCGTTTGAAGCAGCTATAACAGATACAGTACCTCCAAGTGAGTCACCTTGAGAGGTGATATCTTTAACCCGATTATGTTGCTGTCTCAAATAATTTTTTTGAAATATCTTTTGAAATTTTCTCCAGAGTCTGCCTAATGGCATTATAACATCAATTATACCTTTATAATCTCAGAACTGTGCTATGTCATTCATTAGATATTGGTTTCGTAAGAATGCCTTCAAAAACAAAGATGTACCCAAGAAAATCTTTCTCTCGGTATGTAAAACATTGATAAATTTACAACTTTGAAATTAACATTATTAACTTGAATATATAATGTCAATATTTACATTATAGTAAGGTTAAATTTCAACAAATACCACTCTTTAATGAAGTTACATCAGTGGTTGCTTTTTTTATGCAGCACAAGTCTGGTTTTTATCTTTTACTTATATTTGATAACACACAAAATCTTCATAAATTGATTATA